ATAACCAGGGCCGGCTCACTCACTAGGCGAACTAGGCGATCGCCTAGAGCGGGCCAGCCCTTAGGGGCACCAAACTGCACCCGGTCCTGTACTCTGGGAGTTTCTTGATTATTTGTGTTTTTCATTCTTCCTAAAATGCATTTATTTTTGAAAATTGGTGGGCGCATGGGGGGGGGGGGCGGCAGAAAGGATCCTTGCCTAGCGTGCAAAATAAGCTCGAGCCGGCCCTGTCCACAACCCGCCCCCTGTTGGAATTAGATATATAGATAGGGCTGGATCCAGACTAGATATTTCCACATGTGCAAGCATTTTTGCTCAAGGAGCACAATTTTCTATCAGCAGCTAAAAATGGCCCTAGAAAGAGGGGATCTCCAGGAAAAAGATCTGGGGAGCCATTTCAGAATACTGTCTAAGGGAGAAGATGGGAAAGTCAGAGTCCCGAGTGGGAATCTAACAGAAACATTAGCCTGCATACAACCCAAAGTGCTTTCTAATCCTTTGTACTCCTCAGAAATGTCACACATGCAGTCCAGAAGGAATCAAATGTAAGGAGAAAAGACCTAGAACCACTTAAGCCAGTGGTTCCAGAAAGCTTTTGCTGGTAAGTCCTTAACATAGTAGCACTGTGTAGTATTTATTTTTCAGTGTTCTCTGTTACTTAACCTATTGAAGTGCACTTTTTAGCCCAATTAAAAAAGGGGGGGAAATAGGCAGTAGAAGAAAAAGAATTGGTTAACTAACAGAAAAATGGGGGGGGGGTTAAATAAGAGGAAACATTATGGTACATAAATATAAATATTGGGGGGAACTTTGGGTATGTTTTTGGCAAAAAAATTAAAATTTTAGACAAGCCTTTATAAAGAATATAATACATTGTCTTTTATTCATAATTGCAGTAATAAAATGAAAGAAAAAATAAGCGTTAAAAGGAAGCAATAAATTAAAATCATCTTCATTCTGTTTAAATTCAAGCCATTTTCTTAATTCTTTCAGTCCTCCAGGACCCTTCACTTTTACCAGGACCCAAAGTAAAAGTATTAACCCTTGGTAGAATACCTTCGATTTAAATGTTCATAACTCATGGATGCATTTTTTCCCTTCAGCAAAATGTTCACAACTGCATATTGAATCATAAAAGTTCCTCAAAGACAGTGTATTTGCAATTATAATATTTTCTTTACTATGTCATTACATGCTGTCACAACTGCAGTGAATAAAATTAAAGCTCATGCTCCCAATGATTGACTATGCTAGGAGCTCTGTAGATGAAGATTTTGAACGTTTGCTGCTTCAAACTGAAGTTCATTGGCTATCAAAAGACAACTGTGTAATGTGCTTTTACAACCTCTATGACACTGTTGTGGAGTTTTTTGAAGACACGAAAGCTTTGCTCAATGACAAACCCAAAGACATAAGGCATGACATTGCTTATTTATCAGATCTGTCTGCAAAGTTTTTCTTCAGTGGGGCAAAGTCATCCAAGCTGGTTAGCTCATGCCTCCACTTGCTCTGGTAGGGCTATGCACATTTTTGCAAGGACCCCTACTGGAGAGATTGTAGGCTGACCCTCGAGTTTTGGATAGCCCTACTGCTCTGGTAGGAGGCTTGAGCTCTTCTCCACATCAAATCTTTGGAAAACTTATTTTAAAAAATCTTAGAAAGGCTTCAAAACCAACCAATCAATGATATGGATACAGAGCAAGGGTCATCTGCAGGTCCTGTGGCTGCCAAGAAGTTGACCACCATAGCTAGTAGGAGAAAAAAGAAAGCCAGAGAGAGGCCCCCTCTGCTCAAAGCTTCAAGGGGAGGAGTTGGGGCTGTGGAAAACCTTCTAGAGGAGATGAGGCTAGTGATGCAGGAAAAGCAACCCGAGGTCTCAGGTTGTGACCTCTCTCCCGCGCGGAGCAAGCGCAGTCAGATGAGCAGTCCCAACTAGCCGAGCAGCCTCCAGCAGGTGTGGCAACACAGGGCAAGGGAGAGCCCCACGGGACACAACCAGTGCCTGCCAGTCCAGCAACCTCCAGCACTGGCACGGCATTGCAGGATAAAGGAGACCATCATGGAATGGACATCAGGCCAGAAGGCCCCCATGGAGATAGGAACTGGGGGGACCCAGCCAGACTAACACCGGATTTTCCTCCAGGACATGGGGCAGCAAAGGGACAAATCTCCCGTGGGACCCGGCATTGCCTCCCTTCCCC